TCTTGAGTAGTGGTTCTTAGCACCTAGGAAAAAGTCTAGCTTGACGTTTGGCTCCAGAAAGCACTGGCCCAAGAAAAAACAGGCCCAAAGAGGGACATTTCTCCTTTTTACCTCCAGTTTCTCAAAGCAGGTGTCAGATGGAAAGTGGTGGGGTGGTATTATTTATTTTAAAGAGGACTATTAAATAGAAAATTGGGATCTCCAATCTCAAGCAAACTCCTGGGTTTTTCACAAAACCTTAAAGTATGGCTTCGTTTCTCAGTGACATACTCAGTTTCTCCACTACTGCATACATTTTAACCAGTACAGTTTAAAAGCTAATATCTGTCACCAAATATATTAACCACAATATTGGGTGCTTTTAGTCATGTAAAGGACAATTTTTTTCTGTCTGTATGTAGTAACAACCCTTACAGCAGCATGGTACACGTCTTTGCCTAGGCTTTCTAAAGCTATTGAGGAACATAGTTGGCTTTCTGCAACCAAAACAACACAGTTGTTCCTTTCTCTGTAGTCAGTGTACTGCCCTAAGGTGGTGATTCATTTATAAAACACATACTAAGTGCTCTCAACTAAGCTTGGTAACAAGGCTGTGCAATGACTTTATGGAGCTCCAGTTCTAGCGCAGGGTTACAGACAGCAAAATAACAAGTTGGATAAGTGTAATATGTGCTATAAAGGAAATAAATAGGGTGTTACAACAGCAAGTAATTGGGGGAGGCCCCTCTGAAAAAGTGGTATTTGCGATGAGACCTGAAGGTGGCAAAGAGCCCAGTGTGAGAAGAGCTGGGAGAGAACGCTTTGACCTTCAAACCACTGACGTTATCATTGCTAATCTAATATGTTCTGCTTTATTCGCCCTTTTTCTCCTTGTTTCCTCTGTTGCTCCTTGCCTTTGATGTGAAGAAGCTGGTCTTTTTTTCCCCTAGAAATCAAAGTTATAACATTTCTGGCTATACTGGAGTAATCCTAAAGTCTTTTTAAAGTGTGATTTAGTTCTTTCCCAATAGACAAGGTTGTAATAAATAGCAGTTTTGGTGAGCTCTTTTCTGTTTCACACACTTTGTAGCATAAATCTTTTCAAATGTTCAAAAGTAGTGAAAATATCTGGTTCTTAAGACAGTTAAGATAAAATTTAGTCTTTGCTGAAGTGCTTGATTCTTAGCTTGAAGCAACACTGCCTAGATTAAATTTTTTTAAAGGTCTAATTCTTATAGGTATGTCAGTCCCTCCCTGCATCTGACCAGCAGATAAGGGAGGAGACGCGATGAGTTATTGAAGATCTGAAAGGACCAGCCAGGGGACTCAAGGCATAACAGCGCAGGAGTAATGCCGAAAAGGCACTCATATTCATTGAGCAAATGAACCCAAACATCCAAAGAATTTTGAGTAGGGGGTTCAACATACAATCATTATCTGACCTTGAGTCTAGCCCTAGGACATGATGCTCAAGGACACTGAAACCCTGTGAGGGTGGTCACGAGTTGTAGGAACTGTTTTGTCTTCACTCATTTTGTTACTGATCAAGCATCAGCAGTTGTAGGAGAAACAATCAGGTCATATGTATTTGTACATTTGATTTCTATATTACTTGATTTATGTATTACTCCCACGTTTCCCCCTTTTAAGTAGTAGATAATAATATAGCAAGCAGATAGTTTCTAACAGAAGGCTTTTAACATAGTTTACTTCTCTAAATCCTGCAGTATGAAATAAAAGTCTTCTTAAATTTACATGATGTGAAATAAAGACAGAAAATAGATTTAGTGCAAATAGAAGGTAATTGCAGGTGATCAGGTCTATGCCTATAGATGGAGTTTTGACCTGAGCTGGGCAAGGGCAGCAGGGAATGCCTCACACAAAAGGGGTACGAGGTCCTAAGCCTCGCCTCAGTTGGCCCCCTTCTCCTCGCCTGTTGGCCCCCTGTGACTGTGCCTGTCTCAGGTTGTTCCTCCCATGAGGAATCTTACCCGTCTCTGGCTAACCAGCCATCCTCCGGGACCATACAGGGAGATAACATGCAGCGAAGAGGCATTTGAAGTAGGTCAGTGCTTTTTCTCATACTCTTATGTCCAGCCATAATCATGAAAATCACAAAATACGCTGATTCACTGCACGGACTTTCATGGGGGGTAATGAAGACAGTGAACAATCACTTCTTATACATTACTTCTTAAAAGTCGTATTGGCTTCAATAAGCTAGCGGTCAAGTGACGTACCCACATTACCAGAACAGGAAGACAAATATATAATAGAAGTAAACCTACAAGTATTGGCCATATCCAATTAAATCAAGAGAATTTATAATCCCTCAGAAAATTCCAATAAGGAGAGATAATCTTAAAACTTTAAATGATTTTCAAAAGCTTCTAGGAGATATTAATTGGATCTGCCCATTATTACGTATTCCTACTTATAAATTACAACATCTTTTCAACACCTTAAAAGGACCCCCAGATCTTAATAGTCCTAGAGACTTAACCTCAAAAGCTGAGGAAGAACTCAAGTGGATAGAACAACATATTCAAAAGCTCAATTATCAAAAATTGACTTACAGAAACCCTTATTGTTATTAATTTACTTTATCCCCATTCTCCCACAGGATTGCTCTGTCAATGTGACAGTTGGTTAGAATGGATATTTTTGCAGTATCAGACTAAACCCTTGTTGCAACCTTACATTGACAAAGTAGCTTCTATCATCCTTAAAGGACAACAGAGACTAAGATGATTGGCTAAGATCCCCACTCCATTATTCTTCCATCATCCAAACAAAATATTATGCAAGTATTTCAAGAAAATACTCATTGGCAAATTGCACTTTCTGATTGTTTAGGAAATATTGACTGTCATTACCCTAAGAATAAATTATTTTCCTTTTTTCTGCACCATCAATGGATCCTTCCTCAAAAAAACTCCTCCACTGTCTGAAACTAAATCTGATACCCAGGAATGAGAACTCTTGGATGATGTGGTAAAATCAAGTAAACATTCCTCATCTCCACATTCTTCTGACTTCATCATCTTCCTCTTCAGAAAGTGATGGTGAGAGTCCTGCCCGTCTCTCTCTCATCGTAAGAAATCCTCAGCCTCTGTCACTGCTGCATCTGCTTTCATGCCAGGAATATGCAAAGCCCAGAGAGAGGGTGATATAGATGCTTATTTGACACCCTTAGTGGCACCAGTTAACTCCTTTGGGCCAGGTGAGGATGCTGATTTTCCACAAGGTGGAGTCAGAGCACTTTATACACCTATTCCTTATAAAACATTATAAGACTTTAAACAAGCCATCTCTACTTATGGCACTAATTCGCCATATGTTGTGGGTCTCTTGAGGGGGTTGGCAGAACAAGAAAGGATGATTCCTCATGATTGGGATTTATTGGCTCATACCTGTTTGGACTCTTCTGAATTTTTACAATTCAAAACATGGTGGTATGAGGAAGCAAAAGCACAAGCCTTGAGGAATCAGCATGCCGATCTTCCAATTCTTATAACTGCTGAACAGCTGGCAGGACAAGGAGATTGGCTGCAGTTAGAAAGGCAAGCTAGGTTTGAGGACACAGCAGTAACAGATATGTCTGTGTTGCCTGAAAGCTTGGGAAAAAATACAAGTGGCTGGAAAGCCTGCTTACCATTCAGTAAACTTAAACAGGGACTCAATGAACCATATGTTCATTTTGTTGCGAGGCTGCAGGATAACAAGACGTACAGTAGCACATCCAGATTTAAGGGAAATGTTGTTGCAAATGCTAGCTTATGATAATGCAAACACGAAGTGCCAAAGAGTTCTTAGACCTTTAAAATCTACAGGAGCTAGAATGGAAGATTATATCAAGGCTTGTGCCAATGTAGGTTCCTCTACACACCAAGCTAATTTACTAGCAACTGCTATGAAGGGAAAATCAAGGGGAAATTCAAAAAATTTGAAATGTTTTGGTTGTGGCAAACAAGGGCATATGAAAAAAGATTGCAGATCACAGAAGAGGACAGAAAAGCCAAATTTTAAAAATAAACTGCCATCTGTTTGCCCAAAATGTCAAAAAGGGAGACATCGGTCTAAGGTCTAATGAATGTTGTTCAAATGAGTCGGCCTTTAAACCTTCGACTGGGCCAGCCTCTGAGGCCCTAGAAAATAATACAGAGGCATCTTCTCCAGTTAAAAGAACATGGCATGACATAAGAAGAAAACAAATCCTACCATTTGCAACAACACGGATGGAGCTAGAGGGTATTACGCTCAATGAAATAAGCCAGGTGGAGAAAGACAAGTACCAAATGATTTCACTCATATGTGGAGTATAAGAACAAAGCAAAAACTGAAGGAACAAAACAGCAGCAGAATCACAGAACCCAAAAATGGACTAACAGTTACCAAAGGGAAAGGGACTGGGGAGGCTGGGTGGGAAGGGAGGGATAAGGGGGGGAGGGAATAAAGGGGCCATTAAGATTAGCATGTATAATGTGGGGGGGGCATAGAGAGGGATGTGCAACACAGAGAAGACAAGTAGTGATTCTACAGCATCTTACTATGCTGATGGACAGTGACTGTAATGGGGTTTGTGGGGGGGACTTGGTGAAAGGGGGAGTCTAGTAAACATAATGTTCCTCATGTAATTGTAGATCAATGGTACCAAAAAAAAAAAAAGAACATGGCATGATTTACAAGCAGCAACTAAAGGAAGTGCTGCTGTAGATCTTGCCTCTTCTCAACCTGTATATTTATACCCATCACAAGGAGTCCAATTACTTAGTACAGGAATTTTTGGCCCTTTACCAACTAATTTTGTAGGATTGCTTTTAGGCTGCAGTAGTTGGGCATTAAAAGGATTAATAGTAAGACCTGGAGTTATTGATCATGATTATATGGGTGAAATTAAAATAATGGTATCATCTGATAAAGAACTATATGTACCTCAAGGACACTGAAACCATGTGAGGGCGGTCATGAGTTGTAGGAACTGTTTTGTCTTCACTCATTTTGTTATTGACCAAGCATCAGGAGTTGTAGGATAAACAATCAGGTCATATGTATTTGTACATTTGATTTCTATATTACTTGATTTATGTATTAATCCCATTAATCCCACATAGGTATACTGAGAAATACTTGCTTGAGAGACTAAATAGCAAATGACCAAATGCACACAATTCTGCATATTAAAAGAAAAACCTTGAAAATAATGCAAGATAAAACGTCAACAGCTATAATCAGTTCTCATAAGTCTGAAATAAGAAATTGTTCAAAATAGTTCTCAATTAGTAAACTATATTATAAATGTTTTAATATTTATGTTAGTAAAACACCTCTACAGTTAAATGTCATTTCTCATATAATCATTGTACAGAAGTAATATATAGTTTCTTGGCTTACTAGTAATTTTATACCAATCACTTGAAACACCATCCTTAAGGTTTAATAATATACTGTAATACTTCCATTTTTCACTTTTTAGAGTTTGACAGAAGACAGTCAATATCCTGAAGAATTTCAGAGGTTTTTTTCAAAGCCACTGATACTCTCTTTTCATTAACTTCTTCCAACAAGATTTTTGAAGATTTTGGTTTATGATGATCAGAAGACTCTTTGTTTTTCTTGCTAGAAATCTGGTTTAGGATACCACTGTTCTCCAATAACACTAAGTTGATTAATTAAGGAACATTCCTCCACATTTTTCATTTTATGAATACTTTTAAATTCAGAAAGTTTAATACAGCTTTCATATTAAAATATGTCTCCACTGGAAGGAAGATCTCTTAGATTCATAATAGAATTGGGATTAAAGACCTTATCAAGTCCACTCCTTGTGATGAAGAAATCAGTTACATTGTAAAAGGAGGAAAGGAATGGGAGTATGTATATGTGTGTCTGGATGGAGGTTTGGTGAAAGAGGAAATCTCAGTAATATTTAAGTGAAGAAGTGATGTGGGAATAAAAGGGAACAAAAGTAGGGGTGACTGGAATATAAATAATATGTGTAATGTATTTCTTAATTTCAAAAAGATCTTAATGGAAAAAAATTTTCCCCGGTTGCAAAGCTACCTTGTTATTTGAACAGGATTACAGAAAAATCACAAGTAGATGAATGGGGTGGGAATGTACAGAACTAAAGGTTTCATAAGAAAAGTAAGAGTCCAGTCCAAGGTGGCAACATAGGAGGCTCCTGAGCTCACCTATAGAGCTCATACTGAATCCACAGGTACACATGAAACAATTCCCTCTGAAAGAAATCCAGGAACTATCTGAGTAACTCCTATACAACAGGAAATACCCACAATTAAATGGATAGAAGAGGCCAACATACACTACTGCCATAAACCCCACCCCTAGCTCAGCAACATACAATCAGAAGAGACTTTACAACTCCCAGCTTCTCCCTGAGGAGCAAAGGGTTTGAACCCAACATCTAACACTCCAACTTTTAAGGCTTCCACCTGCAAAATGGGCCCCCAAAACACCGAGCTCTGAAAGCCAACATTGCATCCAGGAGACCCAAAAGACTACAGTAAACAAAGAAACAGTTCCTAGTGGATTCACAAAGACTGCCTATGGCTACCCAACCAGGACTCAGAGCACAGGGAGCAGACAGAAGCACCCACCTCCCAGTCTTTCCCTGAAAGAGGCCTATTTGTATACTTTAGAAGCTACTGCCTGACAGTAAGGATTCTAATTTAGCACAGGAGTGTGATTCTCCTGGGAGACTAGGGAGGCTGGCAGGTGACATCTTGACATACTCCCTCTGATCTGCTCCAAGTTGCAGCTGTCTCCCTGGAAGGAGCCTGTGTACATAAAAAGACAATAGAAAAGATGATCAAAATGAACAGCTGGCTTTTAAAAAAGAAACAAAATAAACAAATCTTCAGGTAGACATAGCAAAAAACAAGGGAGAGGACTCAAAATCAGAAATGAAAGAGGGGATAATACAACTGATACCACACAATACAAATGATCATAAGCTACAACACTATGAACAATTATATGCCAGCAAATTGGACAATCTGTAAGAAATTACTGGAACATACAACCTACTAAGACTGAATCAAGAGGAAACAGAAAATGTGAACAGACTGATTACCAGTGAGATTTAATAAGCAAGCAAATACCTCCCAATCAATAAGATTTCAGGACCTGATGGTTTCACTGGTGAATTCTACCACACATTTAAAGAAGAATTAATACTTATCCTTTTCAAACTCTTCCAAAAAATGGGGGAGGAAGTTATCACTTCCAAACTTACTTTATGAGGCCTGCATTACCCTGACAACCAGAACTAGACAAGGACACTACAAGAAAATAAAACTGTAGGCCAATAACCCTGAAGAACACAGATGCAAAAATCCTCAACAAAGTATCAGCAAATGGAATTCAATGATACACTAATATGATCATACACCATGGTCAAGTGTAGTTTATTCCAAGGATGCAAAGGTGGTTCAACATCTGAATTAGTCAAACTGACACACGTTAATGAAATGAAGGATAAAAATCATATGATCATCTCGATACAGAAATATTCTCAACAAGTTGGATTATACAGGGAACATACCTCAACATAAAGGCCACATATGACTAGCCCAAAGCTAACATCGTACTGAAGAGTCAAAACTTAAGGCTTTTCTTCTAATATGAGGAACAAGACAAGAATGCTCACTCTTGACAGTTTTGTTCAACATAGTACTGGAAGTCCCAGCCAAAGCAATTAGGCAATAAAAAGAAAAGGTATCCAAATAAGAAAGGAAGAAGTAAAATGGTCTATATTTGCAGATAACATGATATATAGAAGACACCCAAAACACCAAAAAACTGTTAGAATAAACAAATTCGGTAAAGTTGCAAGATAGAAGATCAATACACAAAAATCAGCTGTGTTTCTGTACTCTAATAAAGCTATCAGAAAAATTGAGAAAATAATCCCATTTATAATTACATCAAAAAGAACACAAATACCTAGGAAAATTTAGGCAAGGAGGTGTAAAATCTCTACACTGAAAATTGTAAGACATTAATGAAAGACACTGAAGAAGTCACAAATAAATGGAAAGACATTCCATACTCATGGATTACAAAGATTAATAGTGTTAAGATGTCTATACCATCCAAAGCAATCTACAGATCCAATGCAATTTCTATCAAAATTCCATGATATTTTTCACAGAAATAGAACAATCCTAAAATATATATGGAATCCAAAGGCTCTTAGAGTCAAAATAATTTTGAGAAAGAACAAAGCTTGAGCTATCACACTTTCTGATCAAACTATGTTACAAACTATAGTACTCAAAACAGTATGGCATTGGCAGAAATAAACCCATGCATATGTGGTCAATTAATTTACATACAACAAAGGAGCCAAGAATATACAATGGGGAAAGGATAGTCTCTTTAATAAAGAGTGTTGGGAAGACTAGATAGCCACATGTTAAAAAAGAATGAAACTGGACCCCTACCTTGCACCATACACAAAAATCAACTCAAAATGGATTAAAAACTTGACTTTATGACCTGAAGTGATAAAAACTACTAGCATAAAACATAGGGAGGTAGGCTATTTGACACTGGTCTTGGAATGATTATTCGGATTTGTCACTGAAAGCAAAAATAAACAAGTGGTATACATTAAACTAAAAAGCTTCTGTACAACAAAGGTCACCATCAGCAAAATGAAATGGAAATCTATGGAATGGGCAAAAATATTTGCAAATCATATATCTGATAAGGGGTTATCCAAAATATATAAAGAACCTATATAAATCAGTAGTGAAAAAACAAACAACCTGATTAAAAAATGGGCAGAGGAACTGAAAGACATTTTTCCAAAGACATACAAATGGCCAGCAGTACTCATATAAATGAGCCCATGAAAAAGTGCACAACATCACTAATCATTAGGAAAATGCACATCAAAACCACAAGGATGTATCACTTCCTACCCGTTAGAGTGGCTATCATCAAAAAGACAGATAACAAGTGTTAGTGAGTATGTGGACAAAAGATAACCCTTGTGTACTTTGGTGGAAATGTAAATTGGTACAGCCAGTATGGAAAACTTCACAGAGGTTCCTCAAAATATTAAAAATAGAACTACCATATGATCCAACAGTCCTAGTTCTAGGTATAAATCTAAAGGAAATGAAAACAGCCTATTAAAGAGGTACCTGCACTCACATGTTCACTGCAACATTATTCATAATAGCTAAGATATGTAAAACAACCTAAATGTCCATTAGTGGATAAATAGATTAAGAAGATGTGATATATATATATATATATATACACATACATATATAAAATGAATACCATTCAACCCTAAGAAAAAAGGGAATCCTGCCATTTGCAACAACACAAGGATGGACCTTGAAGGTATTATGCTAAGTTAAATAAGCCAGCCAGATAAGACAAACACCACAAGGTGTCATTTATCTGTGAAATTTAAAAAAAAGTCTAACTCAGAGAAACAGTGCGTAAAGTGGTAGTTGCCAGGTACTGGGGGAAGGGGAAAACAGACAGGTCAGTAAGAGGGTACAAACATTCAACTACAAGATGCATAAGGTCTGAGGAACCAATTTATAGTATGGCAACTATTGTTTTGTATGGTTGAGGTTTGCTGGGAGCGTAGAACTCATGTTCTCACCAAAAAAAGAGGGTGATGATAGATATGTGAGGTGATGTATATGTTAGTTAACAAGACAGGGTAATCCTTACACAATGTATCTTATGATTTTGCTCATTAATTATACCTCAATAATGCTGAAATTTAAAAAAATTCTTTTTAATACTAAAAATTCTAATGAAAAAAAGAAAACAGGAAGTCAGAGATAGGTCTCAGTTGTAATTTAGAGTGAAAAAGTCTCTATAGGTACACAATGGAATACTATTCAGGCTTAAGAAAGAAACAAATCCTACCTTTTGCAACAACATGGATGGAGCTGGAGGGTATTATGCTCAGTGAAATAAGCCAGGCAGAGAAAGATAAGTACCAAATGATTTCCCTCATTTGTGGAGTATAACAATAAATCAAAACTGAAGGACCAAAACAGCAACAGACTCACAGACTCCAAGAAGGAACTAGCAGTTGCCAAAGGGAAGGGGTGGGAGAGGGTGGGTGGAAAGGGAGGGAGAAGTGGTTTGAGGGGTATTATGATTACTATGCATGATACGGGGGTGGGGGGGGCACAGGGAAGACAGTGTAGCACAGAGAAGACGAGTAGTGACTCTGTGGCATCTTACTACACTGACTTCAATGGGGCATGGGCGGGGCTTGATAATATGGGTGACTGTAGTAACCACAATGTTTTTCATGTGAAACCTTCATAAGAGTGTGTATCAATGATACCTTAATTTAAAAAAAGTCGCTACAGGGGAACTTAATCCTAGTTCACTGTCCTTTGCCCAATTTAAACCCAATGAAAAGTACAAACATTAACATGACATACTTTCTATAGACAAGATACATCTTAAATTTTAATCTTAAATATTCAGTAACCCTCCACAATATATAAATATGGATTAATATATAGAACCATGAATTAAGCCTAGAGTGGAAAGGAAGCAATTATGTAGGACAATATATTGTTTAAAGGATACAATTAAACTTCTTTATCTTTTCAAGTTCAGAAGCCACAGACCTGTGTGCAAAAAAGAATTCATGCTGTCTTTTTTGTATTCACAATATTTCAAATAAGCATATTTGATTTTTTTCATAAATACAGATTTTTAGACAGAAGAACCTAGAAGTTAAGAATTCTCTTTATATTGGCTTTATATAACAACAAATCAGCTTGCCTCAACTGATAACTTATTGAGTGCTTGCTTTTAAAAAGTAAGGCAACTGTAGGCGGAGAAAGACAAGTGCCAAATGATTTCCCTCATTTATGGAGTATAACAACGAAGCAAAACTGAAGGAACAAAACAGCAGCAGATTCACAGACTCCAAGGGACTAGCAGTCCCCAAAGGGGAGGGGTGTGGAAGGGCAGGTGGGGAGGGAGGGAGATGGGGATTGAGGGGTATTATGTTTAGTACACATGGTGGGAGGAGTCACTGGGAAAAGTGTAGCACAGATAAGGCAAATAGTCAATCTGTGGCATCTTACTACACTGATGGACAGTGACTGCAATGGGGTACGGGTGGGGACTTGATAATATGGGGTAAATGTAGTAACCACATTGTTTTTTCATGTGAAATCTTCATAAGAGTGTATATCAGTAATTACCTTAATAAAAAATTTTTAAAAAAAAGGTAAGGCAACTAAATAAGTGTCCCCACCTCAAGGACTTTTGAATCAAGTATTGATATTGGATGGTAATGGGCATCCCTGCTACAACATTTGAGTACTAATGTGGTACACCCTCTATTTTCCTCCTTAAAGTTTACTCAAACTTTAAAAAACTACTAAAATCCAATCACTTATCTGATAGAACTTTCATTGAATTCCTATAACATTATGTTAATTAATCATACACTTAATTGTAATGTCTTTTTTTGAATTATTAATTTTATGATCTCATACCTAGATTGTCTCAGGAGAAAACAGTTTTCTTTTTCCTTTGTACTTTGCACATTTTGTAAGACCTCATTTACATGGAACTCAGGGAATGAATGGTTTTGGAATATATACACTTAATTTAGTTAATACATAATTTCTATACTAAGTTGGACAAAGGCCAAGTTTTTACACAGTTGAATTAGGTGTCACAAAATAACTATTTTCTATTACATTTCTGGAATAGATTATTTACTCATTTTATTGTTTTCTTATTAAAAGTATATTAAGCGTTTTCTTCTCCTTGACTCAGAGGGTTATTAACATGAACATTAGCTCTTACCATGTTCCACAGAAACTTGGGGCCACTGGTATGGGGTAAAGGGCTGAATATATGCAACTTCAGCAGAACTTTTTATGTGTGTGTTCTTTCTCATTTTCCTCATTATACTCAAATGAAACACAAGCAGTGATACACAACTAGAAAATAGTGTAAATGAACAGACTCTCTACAAAATTAATGAGGACTTTAATGTCTAAAACGTCTCTTTATTCAAGTCCCTAGAAAAGTCTCCACAGTTCAAAATAGGGTATGTGACTCGTCTGCTTTACTGGAATTTAGTACAATGGACCACATGCACCTTCTTGTCAGCTTGCACTCTTTGCTTGTATTCAGAGATCTTTCATCATTTTAAGCATCTGTGGTAAAGACTTGGATATGACTTACTCTAAGCCTGATGATTCTTCATTATTGCAAAACACTTTTTTTTTTTTTTGACATGTTTTTTGCAGGCGTTAGCAGCAATACAAACTACCTTTAATGCTCACTCATGATGAACCAACTTCTTATGAAATATCTTTTGTACTATATTTTGACCAGCATCCCTATTAAAAAGTTGAATCAGTAAGCTAATAATAGAAGGTAAGTTGGAAAAATAATACTGAACTACAATTTAGATAGGTGCTTATTGTGCCATCACTTCTCTTCCTTCAACTTACTCCTGACAAGAAAACAAATCACAATGCAGATGTCTAAGGCTTTGCAAGGGGAATGGAGCTATTATTTCAAGTGGCTGGATCTCCCCTCCCTACTCCTCCTCAATTTCTTTTTCTCTCTGCTGCTCCTCAATGCTTCCACCCACAGCTGCTTATCACCACTCTGCACTCCGATCTCTCCCTCATTTTTCAGTATATCTTGACAGTTATCCTCTTCAAAGCTTTCATATACTAGCATTTTACAAACTTTATCAGCTGAGCAATGATGAAGTGACCACTTTTATAGCCATGTACAATTTCCCCTTCTTCCCAACTATGTTTTTGCTAGCTACTTGGGCAACCTTTCTGCTCCAAACAGGCTGTAGCTGAAGAATAAGGGATCTGGGAAGCTGAATCATTAAGATACGTGAGATATTCCAATAACATCTACAGATTTGATTTGTATCTCATTTCTAGGTAACTTAGGAAAAGACAGTAAGAATCAGCTTAATGTTTATATCTTTACCATGCTATACTAAGACACCATACAACTGACTTTTAAGCTTCCTAAGTTGTTCCTGGTATCTTCTTTTCCAGTATATTCCAGTTATACTCTCAGTAACACTAACCTTCCAAATGACTTCTCTTGTATCATTTTTTCCACTTAGGAACTTGTAATTCCATCAAGTCTGAACTCCTCTGTTAATTACAAGATTTACTCCTATCAAAACTCAAACTACACCCTAATAGATAGTGTCTTCTTCATAAAAATTGTCTTCTGTCTCCACAGATGAAAATATCCTTTTTTTATCTCTGCCTTTGCTTCCTTCCTAAAATGTCTTAATTTCCATAAATATTTCTTAGAAGCCCAGTTTTAGTCCCTTGCACATTGACAGGCACACAAGAGGGACTAAAATGTTCACTTCATTTGTTGATTTGCCAATTAATTTTGGGAGGTAATTAATTTGATAGAAATTATTTCAAAATCAACTTTTTCTGCAAGTTATGTTAGTCAACATTTTATTTCCTTTAAAATTACTAAAATTAAAAAAGAGCCTCCTTTAAACTGTCCATAAACTTTTCAGGATGAAGTTATCATATTAAAAGTCACACACTTTGATATGAAGTTTTCAGATCTTCAAATGAAATATAATATGATGAAATCTATTAAGTTAGATATCAGATTAAAGATAAATTATTTTTAAGCTTAAGCTATCATGAACATTTTAGGAGTTAAATATACTTAACTAAGAAAAAGTTTTCTTGAGAGAAAGTCTTAGTATTTACCATTTGATCTCCTACACAGATTGAGTTTAAAAGAAAAATAAATACCAATTTTCTTCAAGAACAAAAGATGAAGGATGTGTGGGCGTCTCTCCCCAACAAGTATTGGTTAGTCTTCTACACCATGATATTACTGTTGTCACATATCTAAATTGAATACATTAAACAATATTTGAAAAATGAACTTTTATAATGTTTATAAAATATTCAAAAAATAGAAAAATTATTAAGACAATTTGGAAAAAAGGATAAAAAATCTACAGTGAGGCATTTGCTGGGTAATTTTCTTGATCTTTTTCATTAGAAACAGAAGAGCACGTCTTTCTCATTCATTAAGAATAAAATTATTTACTCACATTCATGATTAATAAAGATGAAACTTAAGAATCAGAACAAAGGTGATACTTGGATTTCATTCAAAGTTCAAACTCAAATGTCTAAATTTTTCTTATAGTTTTTCAAAGTAAAATGAGTTTCATCAAATTTTATCATGAAAATGTCTTTACACACAAGACTAAATGTATATCTACTCTCTAAAATTTAAACCAAAACACACCCATCAATACATATATACACATACATGTACATATATGTTGTGGGGTAAAAGGCAGAATTTCCAGTATCTCCCTCCTGGCCTTAGTCCAGTTATATATCAGCAGGTGTTTACTGCTGCAGCCTCCAGGGCAAACTCAATTCTCTCCTACCGTCTGTTCCTGGTATGTAATTGGTGTGGGTTTGCCAGTCACCAAAGACCTGCCCATGGAGTTCCTCCCAGAAGGGGTGGGCAGGAAGTAGAGAACGTGCCATGGCAGCAGAGCATCAGGAGATTGATGGTGCCAAGCCTGGCTAGAGGCTATAAGGAATAAAAGCCTTTCCCCCTACCTACCCTTTCCCTTGACTTATTTCGGTATCACACTTTTATAGGGTACTCACCCCAGACTGGGAGCACCCTTCCCCCTGGAGCTACATATATATAATGTAACTCACTGGATATACAAAACAAGGATCAAGTTCAATAAAATGGATGGACTGAAGTAACTAGCTGAAATAAACACTAAAGTTCGCTAAAAACACTATCCTTCTGTGGCAAATTATTCAACTTAGCAATGAATGGTTAGAGCATTTAGACCAAAACGTAATAAATCTCAACAGAAATAAAATTCAAGAGATAAAAAAGCAATTCTTAGGCGAACACTCTCAATTAAAATCACTGACAGGTCAAGAACTCACAAGTAGAATGATTATAATAACAAATTAAATCAAAGAAAAAGCAAACTCATAAAAAGCTGACTTCAAGAATCTTCTCCACTTTAAGGATAATCATCAGCTAATGAATTTTTTCTATGTTATAGAAATAAGGTTACAAACCTTATTCAAACTGGTTAGGGAATTAGTTAATTGGTTCACACAGTTGACCACAGTCCTCTGCAAGCCAGTTTTATCATGTATGTATGTATACAGGTACATATACATTTATTTTGAAAAATCACTTGAATACAAATGAAAATAATTAAGGCTGATCAGGTCTATTTAGTTATGCCAGATCCAATATAACTGTAAACTTTGATAGCTGTTGAAATGACTTCATGCACATTATTCACATGTAAGCACTAAAAATATATACGGTAGACCCTTGAACAACATGGGTTTGAACCGCACAGGTCCACTTATATGTGGATTTTTAAAAATTGGTTGTAAGGCATCAGATTCCACAGGTGTTGTGGTTGATAGAAATGGAAAAGGAAATGTGTTATAAACGGTGGTTATTAGCACCATGCTCTAATCAACCGAGCTAATCTGCCATTATCTGACAAGCGAGAAACGCTGGGATCTGAGAGGAACACAGCTGAGGCCCAGACTGTGCAATTCAGAGGAAGGTAGGAAACCTTTGCCATCCAAGCAAAGTGCATCCCTCCAAGCACAGGCCTGATCTCCCAGCAGGTAGGTGTCAACTTGCTAATTCACCCTCTGCTTGCTCTTTTCTCTGTTGAATCCTACAACTTTCCCATTTCTTTTCTAGTTTTCTACTCTTTGTTGCACCCGAAGTTATTTGACCCATTTTATATACAGTAGGCTATTAGTAATTAAGCTCTGGGGGAGTCAAAAGTTATACCTGATTTTTGATTGTGTGGGGGAGTCAGATATATTTGCTCAAGAGTCAAATGTATTTAAATAGTATTTATATTCCCGTCATAAAAGTTATTCAGTAACATGAAAATAATTTTTAAAATTGTTTTTCAGTACCTTTCATATGGTCCAGCATGTTCAGTCTGAATTAACTGATCTTGCCCATCAGGAAAAGTTAACTTACACCAACCTAAGTTGAGACCTTGATTTACCTCAAGAAGCAAGGAGGAGGGGTAAGTTTTATCATTCTGAAACTGAAAAATCAAAAACAAAACCATCTTTTAATTTAATTACCAATTAAAAAAATAAGTAGATGAATCATCAAAACTTTATTTTTACTAATTTAAAAGTTATATTTTACATAGGATATACGTATTACTTTATCACCACTCATACAGACAATTATCAAAAGAACAATACTAGTCCCTATCTCTGTAATGAGTTACCTTTATAAAATGACTGTCACACCTTTCTGATTTTTGCTAGAAAATCCAATGAGATCAGTAAAGCCTCTTGACAGATTTTATACTTCAAAAAATTAAGATATATAGTACTTAATTTCCATAGATTTAAAAAAAATGGTTTCAGTTTGGAGTATACTCACCTGTAACTTTTCAATAAAGGAGCTGAAATTCCAATTTAGGGTCACAGTAATGCCATCCAAAAAGATAGCATGTACTTTGTTATCAGAGTATGCAAGAAATCTTCCCACGCTGGGTATGAGCGAGTCTCTCAAAAGCAAAGGCAGTATATTGCTATCATGTATCCTAGGTACCTAAAACCAAGTAAATAAAAATTGCAGGAAACAGAGTTGTCCATTAATAAGATTTAAAATATTAATGAACTCTGAGGCAACTTCATATACTCATTCAAAAGTCAAATACTGTAGAATCCTTATGCACATTTTAACTTTTCCAGAAGTGGATGCTTAAGAGAGTATTTCAAGCAGATTAAGTTCTATCATCTTTGGAAAGTCACCATTCTTTTTAGTTTTACATAGAATACAGACAAAAATTAGGAAGTACAATAACCTAGAGGTTTACAATCAAATTTATAAAGAAATCAAAGTCTGAGAATCACTCCAAGACAGTGTTGAAAAATTTACTGCAAGAGAGAACCAAGATGGTGGCGTGAGTAGAGCAGCGGAAATTTCCTCCCAAAACCAAATATATTTTTGAAAACACAACAAAGACAACTCTTCCTAAAAGAGAGACCAGAAGACACAGGACAACAGCCAGACTACATCCACACCTGAGAGAACCCAGTGCCTCATTAAGGGGGTAAGATACAAGCCGTGGCCCAGCAGGACCCGAGGCCCCTCACCCCAGCTCCCGGCGGGAGGAGAGGAGTCAGAGCGGGGAGGGAGAGGGAGCCCAGGACTGCTAAACACCCAGCCCTAGCCATCCGCCCCGGAGCGCAGACACAGTGCATGCATGGGGTCCTG